GAAAGTGTTAGTATATTAGTTAGAAAGTGTTGGTATGTTAGTTAGAAAGTGTTAGTATGTTAGTTAGAAAGTGTTAGTATGTTAGTTAGAAAGTGTTAGTATGTTAGTTAGAAAGTGTTAGTATGTTAGTTAGAAAGTGTTAGTATGTTAGTTAGAAAGTGTTAGTATATTAGTTAGAAAGTGTTAGTATGTTAGTTAGAAAGTGTTAGTATGTTAGAAAGTGTTAGTATGTTAGTTAGAAAGTGTTAGTATGTTAGTTAGAAAGTGTTAGTATGTTAGTTAGAAAGTGTTAGTATGTTAGTTAGAAAGTGTTAGTATGTTAGTTAGAAAGTGTTAGTATGTTAATTAGAAAGTGTTAGTATGTTAGTTAGAAAGTGTTAGTATGTTGGTTAGAAAGTGTTAGTATATTAGTTACAAAGTGTTAGTATGTTAGAGGCGGTTCATGGGCAGCGACCCTCACGCATTCTTGGAATTCTTACCTAAGATCTTTCATAATTATGTCTTACCGAAGATTTTACATAACTCAAAGCTATTAAAATCTGGTTCTTCGGTGTCATAAAAACGCCCAAGTACCAGTGTAACTAGACGCTCATCTCCCGCCCCCACACACGCACAAAGTACCAGTGTGACTAGACGCTCATCTCCCGCCCCCACACACGCACACGTACCATATTCATCTCTGTCTCTCAGTCGTAGGGGATTGAAATTGATTCACGCCAATGTACTGCACGAGTCATTGTACTGCAACAGTCAAGAATACTTTACTCCCTAAAAATATGGATTAAACTAAATTGACAAATACACCTCCCGGTGTATATATTCTTGGCTTTAAGTGGGACACGGAGTCACTCTGGGGGAAAAAACTTAATTCTTGTTAACTAATCTCTTTACGTGAGACTGTAATGAAGACTGAGAACCACACCGTAGACCCAGCAACTGAAAGTGACCCATTATTGTACTGGATGAATCAGTATTGAGTTTCTACACCATCTCCCTCTTTCTTTCTCTCTCTCTCTCTCTCTCTCTCTCTCTCTCTCTCTCTCTCTCTCGTCAAAAGGGCAGTAGAACAACTGGAAACTGGGAAGGAGAACGTGGTGCATATTCTTCACTCTCTCAGCGCTGAGGAACCTCCTTGAATGAAGGAATTTGGGAAGTATAGAAGTACGGCGCTGAGTTGTAGGAGTGTGAGAGTGAGTTGTAGGAGTGTGGAGATGAGCTGTAGGAGTGTGGGAATGAGTTGTGGGAGTTAGTGCGTTATAGGAGTGTGTGAGTTGTAGGAACGTGAAAGTGGGTTGTAGAGTTGTGTTGGTGAGTTGTAGCAGTGTGGGAGTTACAGAAGTGTGAGTTGTAGGGTTGTGTTAGTGAGTTGTAGGGGTGTTGGAGTGACTTGTAGGGGTGTGATATTGACTTGTGGGTGTATGATACTGACTTGTGGGGGTGTGATACTGACTTGTGGGGGTGTGATACTGACTTGTAGAGGTGTGGTAGTGACTTGCAAGGGTGTGATACTGACTTGTGGGTGTGTTACTGACTTGTGGGTGTGTGATACTGACTTGTGAGGGTTGTGATACTGAGTTGTGGGGATGTGTTAGAGACTTGAAGGGGTGTGATACTGACTGCGGGTTGTGTTAGCGACTTGTGGACGTGTGGTAGCGACTTGTGGGGGTGTGGTAGCGACTTGTGGGGGTGTGGTAGTGACTTGTGAAGGTGTGGTAGCAACTTGTGGGGGCGGGTAGTGACTTGTGGGGGTATGGTAGCAACTTGTGGGGTGTGGTAGCGATTTGTGGGGGCGTGGTAGTGACTTGTGGGGGTGTGGTAGCGACTTGTGTGGGCGTGGGAGTGACTTGTGGGGGTATTAGTAGCAACTTGTGGGGGTTGTGGTAGCGACTTACGGGGCGTTGGTAGCGACTTGTGGGACGTGGTAGCGACTTGTGGGGGTGTGGTAGCGGCTTGTGGGGGCGTGGTAGTGACTTGTGGGGTGTGCTAGTGACTTGTGGAGGTATGGTAGCGACTTGTGGGGGCGTGGCAGCGACTTGTGGGGGGCGTGGTAGCGACTTGTGGGGGCGTGGTAGTGACTTGTGGAGGTGTGGTAGCCACTTGTGGGGGTGAGATAGTGAATTTGTGGGGGCGTGGGGTTGACTTGTGGGGGTGACTTGTGGATGTGTGGTAGTGACTTGTGGGGTGTGGTAGTGACTTGTGGGGTGTGGTAGTGACTTTTGGGGGTGTGGTGGTGTCTTGTGATGGTGTGACGTGATTTTTCGTGGTGTGATAGCGACTTGTGGTGTGATAGCGACTTGTGGGGTGTGTTAGCTACTTGGGAGTGTGGTAGTGAGTTGTAAAAATGTGGTGGTGAGTGTGGGGGTTTGATAGTGAGTTGTGGGGGTGTAATAGTAAGTTGTAGGAGTTGGTAGTGAGTTGTGGGGATGTGATAGTGAGTTGTGGGGGTGTGCTAGTAAGTTGTGGGAGTGTGGCTGTGAGTTATGGGGGTGTGCTAGTGAGC